TTTTTGAGCAACCCTCGGACAATCCAATTGATAAAAAAAAAACACTTGTGTAAGAATGGTGCAACTATAAAAAAAAGTGAGAATTGTATTACTGCATTTGAACAGAGAAACGTTTAGAATGTGAAGAGAAAAGAGAATATAATGTTAACAAAGCCGACTGAAGAATAAAAGATCCGTGGTCCTATTATCCACTTTTGTTGTACGAAATTTTGATCTTTTCCAAAGGTGCCTTGTTTCATTTAGAATATAGTAATAATATTTGTTAGACGCTTCTATCAAAGCGTTGATTGGCTTAACAGAATTGTATTCTGTTGGAAATTGAACGGAAAAGATCAATATTTCACCTAAGTAAGACCTTGTTATTATGGGGCTTCCAATCACCCGCGTTCCTGAAATTTGATTTTCTTTCAGAGATCGTTCTACCAACCTTAGCCGAAATAAAAGCTTTTGAATTCAATGAATCGACTATCATCTGATGTCGATAACTATGTTTGTAAGGTCATTTGAAATGGCTGAACAGACACAGAAGTGAAGTAATGGCAGAATGAACGTTCTACAAATAAAAGACTAATAAAAACAAAACAAAAAAAAGGGATTCTGCTTCCGATTTGCAATGAAAATAATTTCTACTTAAAGAATGCAGTTTTAGTCAAATGAGAAAGTTTAGACAAAAATATATTGAAAGTGCACTGATTTCTTAATCCTCTCCAGTAAATATATGTCCAAAATTATTCAACATAAACGGTAATGATAATACTAATATCTGTTGAAATTTATAAAATCTTTCTCTTCTGGTAATAGTAGCTGTTTCCTTATAAGGAAACATTCAGCATTCTATTAATTCTCTTTCTAGTATTGATGGGGTTTCCTTCCTTGCTTTTTGTTTGGGGTAGAGTGGAACGTCAACATCTTGACTAGGTCATTATTATCTCTTCACATTACATGTGCTACTCATTTTAGTTGTCGACTGTTGAATGCCCTTAAATGATGTAGTCTCTGATGAATATTAATAACATAACTGAATTTTGATCTGGAATTTTAACTATATAATGTGCAATATATGTGTTAAGCTGGTCATCGGGCTGGGACCAAAGTGTAGTATCTGTTCTCCTCATCTCTAATAGTAATGGTAATAGCTGTTTCCTTATATAGAAACATTTGGCATTCATTGACCAAGCAACCAGTGCTATCCATTTATGCCTTTCTTCATTCTCTGGCAATTGGACTGGAATCAAAGTGTAGTATCTGTTCTCTTCATTTCTAATGGAAACAACATTAATTTCCTTATATGGAAACAACATTAATTGACCAAGCAGCAGTTTCTCCTAGAGTTATGCTTTTCTTCACTTCCTGACCATCAAGCTGGGATCAGAGTGTAGTACCTGTTCTCCTCATCTCTAATCGTAATGGTAATATTAGCTGTTTCCTTATAAAGAAACATTAGACATTTATTGACTAAGCAACCAAAGGTTCTTGTGCCCTACTTAGGAACACATGGCCCAATGGATAAACGTTGAGTAATCCTAAAAGTGACTTGATCCAAAAAGTTGTAAGTTCAATACCTGGCCACAGCAGTTAGTGTTATTGTTATAAAATCTTTTTCGTAAAACAATTTCTTAGGAAAATAGATTTCTTAAGTCCAGTAGCTGTTAATGTGTTAAGCTGGCCATTGGGCTGGGACCAAAGTGTAGTATCTGTTCTCCTCATCTCTAATAGTAATTAGCCGTTTCCTTATAAGGAAACATTCGGAATTCATCGACCAAACAGCTAGAGTTAGTTGACATTTATGAAATCTTTAAAACATTTTTCACAGTACTAGGGAGGGAAAGCAGGAACTACTTTTGATACAATCTGTGATAATTAAAAACAATAAGAATAAAAATAAATTAAAAAAAACGAGAGATAGCTCAATCTCCTACCACTCTTCGATAAAGTCTTCGGGGTTTTAATCGACGTTAAAATGGTTAAGCACCTTACATCCCATGATCTTCTCTCAGACAAGCAATATGGTTTCCGCTTTGCCCGGTCCACCGCTGACGTGCTCACGACCATAACTGTATTTATATACCAAACACTTGACAATAACGGTGAAGCTCGAGCCGTAGCTTTAGATATCTCTAAAGCGTTTGATAGGGTCTGGCTCGCCGGCCTTCTTCGTAAGCTTCAGGGATACTGCATAACAGGACGATTATTTGACTTAATAAAATCATTCCTGTCAAACCGTGAAATGAAGGTCGCCCTAAACGGGTTCTTCACCAGTTTTCCTTTCACACGAACGCTGCTGTTCCCCAAGGCTTTATCCTGGGTCCTACACTCGTTCTGATCTTCATCAATGATGTTTCTGATGTCATCAACTCCCAAGTTGACATCTACGCTGACGACACTACTATTTACTCCTGCCTCAATAGTAGATCCAACATCGTTGAGAAAACTAACCTGGCCGTAGGCCTTGAGAAGGACCCCCAATCTGTGTCTGACTGGGGCAGGAAATGGCTTGTAAACTTTAATGCCTCCAAAAGGAAACTGCTCTCATTTACCTACCACAGAGAACCCTCCCTGTGTCCCATCAGGATGGCTGATGTCCAGCACGACGAGAGCGCCTCTCTGCGCCTGCTTGGTCTCACGCTGTCTACTGATCTGTAGTGGAACAACTACATCTATAGCTTCATCTATCACAAGGAAAGTTGCTTCTCTGTATCGCGCCAGAAGGTTTTTCTCGCCTGAGTCTATCCTTCAAATCGACAACTCAACCATTCGTCCTTGCATGGAATACTGCTGCCATATATAGTTCGGTGCCCTCGCTGTTCTCGAGGTCCTCGACAAAATCCAAAGACGGATATGTAACATGATTGGTCCTGATCTGGCATCCTGTCTACAGCCACTTTCTCACAGACGTGCTGTGGCTTCCCTCTGTCTTTTTTACAAGTATTTTCATAGCAACTGTTCCGACGAGCTACTTTCACTGGTTCCTAAACTGCATGAACTTAAGACAGCCACTAGGTTGACATTTTAGTCCCACCCTTTCACTGTTGAAAAGGCTAAATATAGCTTATCTCCAACAGCTTATAATCTCGCACCTCCCGTCAGTGGAACTCCCTTCCTATCACTTGCTTCGCCGATAGATATAATCTTCAAATATTCAAATGTAATGTCAATCGACATCATCTGATACCATGACCTTGATCCCGGTCCTTCTGTTTATCCTTTTCCCAAACACTTCTCTTTACTTTTACTTTCACCCTCTGTAACCCCTTGCGTGCTGCTGGCTCTCCCACCTTGCTTTGGTTGATTTGCTTAAAAAAAAGAAGCTAAATGAGTCTAAGTTTAACAGATATATCAAAGATCAAAATTTAAATTTACAGGTTGAGCGTCTCTGTTTCTTTAACGTTTCGATGTAAAATATTGGTTTTTATATAACCACCGATGTTAAACTGCGTCGAATCCGGTTAGTACTTAGTTGGGTTCCCGTTTGTAAATACTGGGTACTCTTAGCAATCCCCTAAAATTCGAAATATGTTTTGGCTTCAAATAACCAACTTTTTACAGTGAGCCCCCCGTATTCCCGGGGGTTATAGTCCAGAACCGATCACAAATATTTCGAATACTTGTAACCCCCTTAAAAGTGCTTATAAGGACCTATTTTGATTGTTAAAGCCCCATATGCCTTAAATTTTCATCCTAAACACTTTAGAAACATTTTTGAAAAATAGTATTGGTGACCATACACTTAACGTAAATTTTCTGTCATACGTACAATAACTTTTTAATTACGCATAGATCGATACAACCATTGAAAATACTGTATAAAATACGTGTAACAAGACATAAAATATAAAGTTTTTAAAACATTTTCTAAAAACAGAACTGTGTTGATGCCTTCAGACTTAACATAAACCACTTTTAAGACCCCAGCTGTAGCCTCTAACAAAGAACAAAGCCCAAACACTACGAATGTTTTTGCGTTTGTTTCTTTACAATGAAGATTTACAATTCTGCCAATTTTTACTATAGAAATGGACTGTTATATATTTTTAAGTCACTTAAATAACAGGAAAATAATACAAGAATATTTTAAATATGTCCTATCGAAAAAAAAATACGCGAATCGAGGGAGTTCTCGGCGAATAATTTGTACATATGTTCTTCAGAAAAACATGCGAATATTCGGGGTTTCCGTGAATAACAAGTACATATGCCCTAAAGAAAAATCAGCGAATATGTGAAGCCGCGAATACTGAAACGCGAATAAGCTGGGACTCACTGTATATATATACGATTGATTCCATCATTATAAAACCGTTATTAGTCTGAAGAATTTTCTTCTCGGAACGAAACGCGTCACTAAGATATATTTTTTTGTTTTGTCATTCATTTGCCCCCCTCGAAATATGCTGAATAATAACTGTTTTGAATGAATTAAGTATACTTTCAAGCAAAATAGGTGCAGAAAAATCTTCTCTACTGCTACGTCCTTAAACGATCATAGCTCTCCACGACGTCTTTTGCTATTTTTTATTTTATTTTATATATCTGTAAACTGACATAGTTTCCTCTTGTCTTCCCTAGTACTGAATTCAGATTTGGCCTTCTTCTAGACTGATCTCCAACCAAGGCTGGAGAGCCATGTTTGTCTGTCTGTCATCGCCTAACTCCTGGATGTTTGGAGCTATAAGCACTAAAGTTTATCTAGATGCTAATGGAATATAAAAGCACCTGCTTAGCATGTTATTTTTTTTTAATTTCAAAACCTTAATTGATTTGATTTTTACAGTTTATCAACCTTTTGCAGGTTATATAAAGCCATAAAATATTTTTACATTGTAAGAATTTATTTGAAATAATAATGGTTTACTGATACAAGTCTTACTAATTAACCCATAACTGGGGGAGAAGACGTAAATTTATACCTTTCCCAAGGGTATCTTCACGTAAGTTAATATAACGACCCCGAGTGGAATTGGAACTCGGCTCTCCGATTTACAGTTCCGAACCGTTATTCATTACAGCACCTGGCATTATCAAGTGGTCACCTATCTAGTTACTGACCAGGCTCGACGTTGCTTAACTTCGGTAAACGTACGAGAACCTTTGTTTCAACGCGATATGGCCGTTAGCTTACTATGAAAGTTGTTATATACCGTACATATGAACACTAATGGGTATGTCCCAATCCTCATAAATACGTTGGACACTATTGTAAGTGGTCTAAGTATGATGTATAAGTAGTCCACCACTAGAAGTGGTTTACCTACTTCACGGCGCTGGCGAGTATTGTATTTTGTTGATGTTATAAAGATTACCATTTCATTTCCATAACGTTTTGGTTGTTCCTCATTCAGTAACCCTTTCTAGGTTACAAAACAAGTATAATGCTAAACTGAACCTTTGTTTTGTTTTGTTTGTTTTGTTTTACGGCACATCAACCTTAATGGGTCATTTAATGCCGACAACTTTTTTTTTCCTGGCAATATTTTTGTTTTGTCAAAAATCTATTTCTGGTAATATTTTTTCCTCAAAATTGTATAGCTGGTAATATTATTTTCAAAAACGTATTGCTGGTAATAGTTTCTTTTTTTTTCATAAACGTATTGCTGCTGGTAATAGCTATTTTTTTCCTTCAAAAATTTATTTCTGTTAATAATTTTTTATAAAGTACTAGCAGTAGAGCCCGGCGTTGCCCGGGGTTGTAACAGTAAGAGATAGATCAAGAATCGACCATCATAAAGACTGAAAAATAAAATTGACAAAGATTATTGTTTAAGGTTGACGGACACGCATGTCTTAATTAGTTTTATTTTGTTTGTTTTTTGTTTTTTTTACGAATTGGTCAAACTCAAACAAAAACATTGTTTTCAATCGTTATGAGTCTACCGATTGAATAGAATTTTATTATAAACAATTGTCTTGTAAATGGAATTTTTAAAGCACTCTAGATGTAAAAATAAAGAAAAAAGTGTGCAAGACAATAAGAAACACTACCTGCCAAAAAAAAAAGTGAAGTTTTGTTGAAATCGGTTGAAAAATGTAGGAAATCCGATCCCATATATAAACGAACACACACACACAAACGCACACAAACAAACAACCTGGGTTTTATAATAAGTATAACTCGATATGATTTGCCCCCCTTTCATTCTCGCGATGCCTCTTAATCGTGTTTTCAAATTGATTTCGTGCAAAAACAATTGTGTTTTTCCAATTTTTGGCTCTGTCAGAACCACCGCAAGGTAATTTTACGCAGTCCTGTGAAGTTTTGTTGAAATCGGTTGAAAAAAATGTAGGAAATCCGATCCAATACACACACACACACACACACACACACACACACACACACACACACACACACACACACACACAATGCGTTTTATAATAAGTAAGATTTCTGTTCTTAAAACCTATTTTTACACCTTTCAGTTTCGGGGTTAACTATTTACCCATAGCTGGGACCCTAACAAGTGTTACCACCCCGGGTCAGGGTGGACCTGGGAACACCAGCAATTAAGAGGTGGTTCCACGCTCCTCAAAACCTCCTGATCAGAGGCCTTGCTGTTGGACGTAGTTTATCGTCTTACCCAGGACGTGGATGTAGTTTATCGTCATACCCAGGACGGACTGAACCTTTATTTTATATCCGTCAGGTTAACCAAACCGAGTTTTTTATTTTATTTTTTTTTTTAAATCTCTGTTTAACCTTTTATACAGATATTCTTGTTGAAAATTTCAGAAAGCAAAATAAAGACATTTTTTATTTCCGGAAAAATCAAGACTGATAAAGTATTGTGTAATCATATTTATTGATATTGTACGAGCAATGCTAACCAGGGGGCCATAAAGGTTAACCCCATCGTGACATTTATTAAATTAGGTTCTCACGAAAACATAGTTTGGTGTCGTTCATGTGTTTATTGCTACAAAAAATCGAAGATATAAATGATTATAATTTGAGTAGATGTGAAATCTCACTTACAGATACTTAAACTGCGCAAGAATTCCCGATGACATGATTTCTAACACTTCCGCTGCTGCGTACGTACTTATACGTCCCGTTGAAATTTACATTGCCTGCTCTCGACGTATATATACGTTTAAAAGACCCCATAAATGTCGATCCCTATTGTTTTTGTTTTTTTAATTATTTTTACAGTGAGTTTCATCTTGTAAAATTTTGGATGGGAACTCGAGAGAGTACAGGGTTGTAACTCTGTACTCTCAAGTGGGTACTTTTATTGAGTAAGAGGTAAATTTTATGCGGCTATGTGGGGAAGATAACGGTTAACCCTAGACTTGAACAGGGTGCTATGTTTGGCGTATAATGTGGATCGCTTATTTTTGTGATGGAAATCTTGGCCATGAACTTGCGAGCACTTAACTCATCATTTTACTAATCATCTGCTGCTCTTTTCAATTCCTATTCTGTTCTGTTATCAGTCGCACACGTGTGAAACTGACTCCCAAGAGGATGCTTCCTCGATCACTACAACCTCAAGCTGTTCATGTCTAGGATTAACCGTTATTTTCACCATATTATCTTTTCCTAACCCTCTATTTCGAGTGGCTCTCAGCCTTTGTACAGACTGAAAAAAATTGCTGCCTATAACCCCCCCATGCAACATAAAAATACTAGATGTAGCATTTTTAACCAGTTCACCATAAACAATTTTAATTAGGGATTACGTTTCACGAACATTTTTACCAACATTCACATAAACTTATCTTAACCGGCTGTTGAGGATTTCTTTCATTCATTTTTCATGCTAGATGCAATCGTCAGCCTGACGATTGCATCTAGCATGAAACAGCCTGTCGCCTCTGAGTGCTGATTCAATGTTCACTTTTATATTTACATACGCTCTATTTCTGATATTAAGTACTTTATCCCATAAATATAGCAGATCTTATATCTTAAAACCTGGAAAAAAGAAATTCAGTTCGTTTAGTGGCTTTTTTTTAGATATTAAACATTTTGTGGGATAGACAATTTATGCATTTACGCCAATTTTGGTGTTATTTGATATATATATATATATATATATATATATATATATATATATGGTAAAGGTAACAAGTGGATACTAATAATATAAAATATTAAAAGTGATCCACAAAAAAAAGCTCATATTAATACAGAGCAATACAATTAATAAACAATAAAAAAACATTTTACCTCATATGGGAAATAGTCTATTTCGGCAGACGATGATCGGGGACAGGAAGACTTCCTGCCCGCCTCTTATCTGTATAGACACGAACTCAGTCCACACCGGGGTTGATAAGACAGACGAAATAGGATATTCCCTATATGAGGTAATTTTGATTTTATTGTTTAATTAATATATATATATATATATATATATATGTGAAAGTGTGTGTGTGTGTGTGTGTGTGTGTGTGTTTTCTATATTAAACATCTAGCATTTCAGTATTAATCTTATGAAAACCTTAATTAACAACGGAAACAATGCAATATGATGAATTTTCTTTTCTTTTTTAAATAGAAGGGCGTCAATTTGAATTCCAGCCACGTTTCATTCGTGTGCTCGGAACAAACGTTGCTATCATACAATAAACATCACACAATTGCATCTTAAATGACAACTGTGAAAAGATAAAGTCAATTTTAGTGGATGCCCATATTTGAGTAGACGCCCTGCTTATTTGTTAAACAGTATATTTATTTATTTTCGTTTGCCAGACTGAATATTCGAGAAATCTTATTAAAAATAGATATGTGCTCCCCGACAGGATTCGAACCTGTATCCGCCGTCCAGCGTAGAGGAAACAGTCGTTAGGTCTGACATGCTTTAGACCGACTCGTCAGAGTTGACGGTAGACAAAAATAAATAAATATACAGTTTAATAAATAAACAGAACGTCAATGAGTATCCACTAAAAATAACGTTTGGAGAAGGCAACGGGAAACCACTCCGTTATCTTTCCCAAGCACAGTTATTAATGAAAAAGGAAGCTGTGGAGAGTCATGATCGTCTACGTTCTGAAAAGAAATGGAATTTAAAAGAAATTGTTTGTCGAAACGTCTCTAAGTCGTTATTTTTTAAAATTCTGTCTGCATCTTTAGGAGAAAAAAGTTGATAGATTGTAAGTTTTAATGAGATAAAAAAAATCATTCAAAGTTATCATCAGGTTGAAGAATCCGGATGAAAGCTGGGGAGGTCTAATTCCTGACAATCTACACACAGAAAATTAAGCATAGCATACCATCGCGGGAGAAAAATAAAATGGGTAAGCCTGGAATGCGGTAATTTTTTTTTATCCCCTACGAAGAAGAATTACGTCCCTTGTATACTTGACTCTCGCAGTGTTTTGCGTAACATAGAAGCATATATGCGTTAAAAGCAGGAACGTTTTTAACGGATGTAGGCGCCACTTCCGGATTACTACGCCCATCCTTATGTCTAGAGTACCTCCTGGAAAGAAATGAACGATCCTGTCGTCAGAGTCTTAGGTTACAGCCGATTTATTACTCTCCCTCATATTGCAAATATATACATGCTATTAGTTCCGCTATTTTCCATAAGATTTTATTAAAAAAAAAATATGCTCATGGAATTGTAGTCATATAACGAGTATTTCGTTGCTTTAGTTGATAAATCAAACAAATACAAAATTTTAAATATCTGGGACATCCGAAGACGAATTGGTATAGCGAAAGTTGCCTTCCAAAAGTTAAACAAAATTTCAAGAAACAGGAAAATTCCGTTAGATACAAAATAAAGGGTACTGAACAGTTATGTAATAATATCGGTCCTCTCATATAATACTCGACAATCTCATCAGATAAAGAAGAGACTTGAGGCAACAAACGATACAGCAGAAAGATGTTAGGAATACCATAGACTAAACGATGAAGTTTTAAGGACATTGGAAACAAAAAGGACACATATATCGAATGAGAAAAAATATGATTTAATTTTAATAATCGTAAATTTTCATATTTTTATTTATTTGATTTATTTTTTAAAATCTTGACTGAATTAGTTATTTAAAAAAAAATGAAAATTCAACATGAGAAGGATTATTACATATATTAAAATTTATATATACGCAATAAACCAGAAGAAAAAATTACATACATCCTGATTGGTCAGAATTAC